AAAGGATGCAATTTTCAAATGCAAGAAGGGCCAGCCACAATTTTTAAACTTTGCCTAGCATTCTCAATGCCTTAGACTGATTTTGCTACCCAGGTCATAAAGAAAGTAACCCTCTGCATCTTAAGGGTCCTTGTTGTTCACTTTGACACTCAATAGAGACCTTGATGAGGGAAGAGAACCCCAGCCCTGATAATATCCATTGCTTTGACATGTCATAAAAGCTTAATAAAATGCTTGTTGACTGAGTTTGTATCATCCACATGATTGTACCCCTCTATTGATGCGGTATGTCCTGTCACAAAGCTTGACTCTAATGCTTCACTGAGGCCTGGATGTGACCCTGGGTTCTCAAAGACAGACTCTGGCAGATTATATCATTTTGGAAAGGCTTTAAGTATGATCCTAACAGACTGTGTTTGCTTTCTGAGGACCAGGCTAGCCAAGTACAGAAAGTCTAATCACAAAGAGACTAACCATTTGGTGATAAATTATTTGGCCATGAAACAGACTGGCCCTCAGTTTTGAGTGACCCCCTTCCACTTCTACAGTGACAGTGGCAAAAAGACAGAAGGAGGGGGCAAGGGTGATTTTTAAAAATCACATTATTTTTGGACAATTTATAAATATTAACTGCTGGAGCTCTAAATATGAAATCCTTCTGAGACCAACAAATACACATAGTACTTGGACAAAAGCAATTCATATTAATCTTGTAATTCTTCCTACAAATTAAGTGAGAAGACAAAAGAAATTTTGGCTAAATAGAAAGCTGGTTCTCAAGCTCTCTTTGGAGAAGCAGACAGAGATATTGGCCAAGTTGGTTTTTTCTTGGACTATAAGAGAACAGAAAAACATTACTTGATGGCATGCTTGGCCCATTGGCTTGCAATACTCATTGTGAGCATAAGCAAAAAAGACAACCATGATGATATTTGCAACTTATGCACCATCTGTTGCAAAAGATAGAGAAGTAGAAATATTCTATGAAGAACTTGACAAGAAACTCCAAACCAAAGTAAACCTATACTTTGATATTATTGATTTTAATGCAATGGTGGACACTGGTTAAGGTTTTATGAACAAGGAATCAAATGTTTATAGACTACTCAGAAGCCTCATGCCTTTATGACATGAATTCTTCCATGAAGAATAAAGTCAAAAGCACGGGACATGGTAAATACTGAACAACAGCACAAAGAATGGAAGTGATTATATCTGAATAAACAAAAAAAAATGAGTGGGATGGGAGAAGGAATCATATCAGAACTGTTGTCTGCTGTATTCAGACCATTAACTAGTTATGGCAAAAAGTCTAAATCAATATAAAATTAGAAGAAATGTTAAAAATGAGATGACACTAAAAAATTGCAGTAACTTCAGCCTGACCTATTCAAACAAGCCATTGATGCCAAAAATTAGGAAATAGAAAGAGGCAAAGATGTTAACCTTGATCATCAATATTTCTGGGGTGAAATTTATAATGTAAAACCATTGCTATAATGAGACCAAAAGAGCCTAGAAACCACCTTATCCAGTAAACATTTGAGAGAGATGGGATATGAAAGCAACACTAGAAAGGAATATGAATTCATTTACAAAATGCTGCAGAGGAAAATGACAAAAGATTGTGAGTGGTATTGCCTTTTAAAAGAATGAAAAGCAATGAAAGTAAAAACAAGTCTAGAGAAGGCTGTATCTGAGAGCCTAGTAAGCTATATTATCTCTAGAGAATTCACAGATGAAATCAGCAGGAAGTTAACAAATGGTCATAAAATGGAACAGATTGGTCAGTGTTGATGTTACAATATATATGAAAAAGAAACAGATGCTACCCTCAGTGAGCTTACATTCTACTGAGAAATCAATGTGCATATCTGTAGAAGGATTGTATCTTTATGCAGGTGCAAATGAAAGAGTTGAGGTATGACTTTGGCTTAGAAATGATAACACTCTTAAACCATCACATTCATCAACCTAGTGCTTTGTCTACCAGAGAAAAACTAAGAAACTGTCTCCCAAGGCAAATAGAGTCTTGGCTACACCTATAATTCATAAGCAATTATTTTCTCTCCCTTTTCCTAATCTAAGTATTTGAAGTGGGTAAATTTGGATTGCGTCAGCAGCAGAACGGTGTTAAGTAAAAGAACAAACATATTACAAGTAACATCATAATGCATAGGGTAGAGAGTACCTTTTTTTATGCAGCTATTCTAACTTTGTCCCTGTGTAAATTCCAAGTGGCTACCCACTGTTGCAGCCCTAATTTTCTACAGGGTGAAAGAAAGGGAGAGACAGAGGCATGTAGAGAGACAGAGAGATATGAGAGACAGAGAAAAGATGAAAGAAAAGGGATGAGGAGAGAAACAGAGAACAAAGTGGAGAGAGAAGAAGAAGAAGAAGAAGAAGAAGAAGAAGAAGAAGAAGAAGAAGAAGAAGAAGAAGAAGAAGAAGAGAAAAGGAGGGGAGAGAGAGAAAGGAAGAGGGGAGAGAGAAAGAAAAAGAGAGAGGGAAGGGTGACAGAGACAAAGACAGAGAGGTTGCCTCTTGGCATATTTGCTACTAATTGTTCTCAAGCCAGCCAATTTTGAATTTGGAGAGACAACAGATCCCCAGATCTGGCCTTTCTACCCCCACAGAACCACAAATTTAAAAAACCCTACTTACTTGTATTTGTATAATATATTGCAGTTTTCAAAGTACTTTAGTTACATTATCTCACTTGATGATAATTGTAGCAAACATTTATCTAGAGCATTAAGATTTACAAAGTACTTTACATCCATTATCTCATTTGGTCCTCATAACCACATGAGGAAACTTAATGGGATAGTATATGGTATAGTGGAATAGTTGGACTTGAAATCAGAAAAAGACTTGAGTTTAAATCTCACCTCCCACATTTTTGGTCATGTGATCCTAGGCAGGTCATGTAACTACCCAGAGCCTCAATTGCCTATGAAATCAGGTTAGTAACAGCAACTAGTTCTCAGGGTTGTGCTGAAGATTAAATGAAAGAATGTCTATAAGGTACTTTCCAAACCTTGAAGTGCTAGATGAGTTCGTTGTTGTTGTTGTTTGTTGTTGTTGTTGTTGTTGTTATGATGATGATGATGATGATGATGATGATGATGATGATGATGATGATGTAAATACATTGGGCAAGTATTACCACACCCATTTTACTGATGGAGAAGCTGTGGCTTAAAAAGTTTAAGTGTCTTCTCCTATGTCACACAGATGGTAAATGCCAGACCATTATATTTGGGGTTTAAAGTAGGAAAGGATCTTAACTGGAAGGGAATGTCTAATTCAGTGCTCTCATTTGACAAATGAGGAGATTGGAGCCCAGAAAGGGGAAGAGATTTATCCAAAGTCACATAGGTAGTAAATAACCTGGTTTGGATTCAAACCCAAGTTTTTCTATTCTTTTTTTTTTTAATTTGGTTAGGCAATGGGGTTAAGTGACTTGTCCAGGGTCACACCACTAGTAAGTGTTATGTGTCTGAGGCAGGATTTGAACTCAGGTCCTCCTGAATCCAGGGCTGGTGCTCTATCCACTGTGCCACTTTTTATTCTAATTCTAATACCCTTTTACGGTATATCCCATTTGACTCTCATAACAACTCTCCAGTGTGCAGGGGTTCTTAATCTATTTGTATGTGAACTTTAAAAAAATATTTTGATAAACATATTTCAATAGAATTAGTTTCCTTGGCAATCCTATGCATTTTATTTTATGCATTTGAAAGTATTATTCCAAGATGGAGTCCTTGGGGTTTTTACCAGGTGGCCAGAGGGCACTGTAACACAGGAACCTCTGCTGTAGGACTAGGAGAAAGAGGTATCACCTAGCTCCATTTTGCAGATGAAAAATCTGAGACATGAAAAAGTTACAACTTCCCTAATGTCACAGAGCTAGTTAGTAACAGAGCCGGGCCTAGCCCTGAATCTCTAACACATAGTCCAGAGCTCATGCATTGTGCCTCAGTGAATGCAACTGGTAATGTCTAGGAGAAAGGGATCATGGGATTATTGACATAGTTATGAGGGGACAGCATAGTACAGAGAACCTCAGAGCTAGAAAGGACATAGATTCCATCAAGTTTAATCCATTCATCTTGCAGATAAGAAAACTGAGGATCAGAGGTTAAATGATTTTGTCTAAGCTAGAATCACACAGCAACGTGTTAGTAGCCAACTATTCACACTGTGACATATGGCAGAGACTGACACAAAGCTAAACAGAAAGAGTCGGAGAGAAAAGAACAAAGAGGTGGGGGACAAGTGAGAAAGACACAAAGACAAGGGGGAGGAGGAGAAAGGAGGGGCTCGGAGGGGCTCAGGGAGGGGGGGAAACAAAAAAAATAGTGACCTAGAGAAGTTTTCCTTTTACAGAAAGAGAAAGCAGAAAAATCTCATTGAAAATTCCAAAGGACTCATGATGAAAAATGCTATCCACCTCCAGAGAAAGAACTGATGGGGTCTGAATGCAGATGGAAGCAAACTTTTTTTAACTTTCTTTATTATTCTTGGGTTTTTCAGTCTGCGTTTTCTTCTGCAACATGGCTAATATGGAAATGTTTTGCATGACTGCACATGTACAATCTATATCAGACTGCTTGCCCTTCTCAAGGAGGGGGAAGGGAAGGGAGGGAGGGAAAGAATGTAGAAGTCAAAAAAAATTGTTTAAATGTTTAAAATTTCTTGTTTCCAGGTAATAGAGAAAAAATATAAAATAAAAATCAAATGTTAAAAAAACATAGAAAAACCAAATATAAAATGACATTGAGCTTTCCTGGAGAAATAAATGATAGCAATAATAAGCCTGAGGTGATGATGTGGCAGCTAGAGGACAATGCAGTCTATTTCAATCTTGCATCTTCTGCTGCTCTTGCCACCTCTGGCATCACAGGTTATGTCCCTTTGAGAGCACTGGAGTGGATGAGAGACAGGCTTTCTGCATAGGAGGTGCTGTTCATTCATTCTCTCCTTCCTCACAGACTTGCGGGGGTGCATTGCATGACAGTGGCTGGATACTCCAAGGGCTATGGCTACCAAACTGGACAGAGCTTTTCAGGGGAATATGACCATGCCTGGAATGCTGTTTACCTGGAAGGAAGATGGCATCTATTGGACAGCACGTGGGGAAGTGGCCTGGTAGATCCTGCTACCACCAAATTCACCTTCATGTAGGTACCCTTCCTCATTCCCATTGAGTTTGGAGAAATGGGAGGAAAAGGAAGCAGGAAGCTCTCTGGGTCAAATAGAAATGGAGAGAGCTTCTTTCCCATTTGCACACTCCCACAAAAGCACACATTATAGATTATTGTCACAAGCTACCTTGCAGATGGGCACATCAAGGTGCCAGAGTTCTAGCAGTTCCCGTATAGGTTTACCAGAACCACACCCTACCCCTTAATTAAATTCTACAGTTTCCCCATCACTAACCTAAGAAAGCATTGGCCTATAGCAAAAATATTCAGAGTTTCCCACTTCCAGACCCCATAGTTCACCCCTCTGCCCTATACGTTTGCCCCAAACACAAGTTCTCATTTTTAAAAAAGTGAAATCAGAATAGCAAGGAGAAGCCAAGTTTCTTATATCTCTTTTGATTTATCTTAGGACTTAGGCATATAAGCACAGATTCCATATGGCTTACTAAAATCCAGAGACAATAACCCTGTGAAATCCAAAGTAGTTTCAGATAGGTGGATAAGGCATTGGTCTTAGAATCAGGAAGACTTGGGGCAGCTAGCTGGCATAATGGACAGAGCTCCAGCCTTGGAGTCAGGAGGACCTGAGTTCAAATGTGGCCTCAGACACATAACACTTACTAGCTGTGTGACCCTGGGCAAGTCACTTAACCCCAAATGCCTCACCAAAAAAGAAAAAAAAAAGAATCAGGAAGACTTGGGTTCAAATAATGCTTCATACATTCATCTTTCTGTGTGGTCAAGACATTTACTGTCACTTTGTCTCAGTTTACTAGTCTGTGAAATAATTTACTAGTCTGTGAAATAAGAGGAAAGAATGACCTCTAAGGTCCCTTCCACCTATAAATCTATGACCGTGTGGTGCTCTGTAGTCACAGTGTCTGCCTACATATGTAGCCTGCTTAAGTAGAGGATTAATGTTGCCCTGCTTTATACTGTCTGGGGTCATATCCCTGAAGCTATATAGTCATAGCCTTTCACTCAGGGGTGGAGGGAGACTCTGAGGACACTGGCTACAGAGAGATACTTGTGTTCACTCTAGTCTGTTGAGATGAGGAACAGTAAGAAAAATACTGTAAGAAACAACAAGCTTTCTAATCATGTGTATTTTTGAGGAAGACACATTCCACAGGGAAAGTAATGTCAGTAGAACTAACATGATCCATATACTACCATATATAGCCTTCTAACCCTCTTGCACTCAACCAAACACTAGCCCTTTTCTCCTGATACCACCCCCTCATTCCCAATGAAATTCCACTATCCTAGGTTACCTGAGTCCAGCCTAGTGGCCATGCATGTCCCAGTCCAAACAAAGACTTGCTAATACAGCAGCATACTCTTGTCACAGAAAATCAAAGTTCGCACTCCTTTGAAACAGATTTGTGACCCCTGCCATCAGGCTGGAGCAGCCAGGTGGCACACCGATAGAGCGCTGGGCCTGGAATCAGGAAGACCTGAGTAAAATCCAATCTTAGACTTTGACTAGCTATGTGACCCTGGCCAAGTCACTTAACCCTGTTTGCCTCAGTTTCCTCATCTGTAAAATGGGCAGAAGAAGGAAACAGTAAACCACTCCAGTTTGAAGAGTTGGACACTACCGAAATGACTGATCAACATCTGTGGGACCCAGTGAATTTCATAGCATACACCCAACATTAGAATCACAGAAGAACACAGCCACAGAACTGGAAGGGATCTCTGTGGTCACCCATTCCACCCTGTGGTTTCAGCAGGAATCCCCTCTGCAATATTCTCTACAGAGAAACATTGTGGAGGGGAGCTTCAAGCTCATTCCACTTTGAGGCAGCTTTAATTGGAAGGTTTTTTCCCCATGAATTAAGCCAAAATCTATGTCACTTTAACTCCCACCCATTACTTCTAGTTCTGCCCTCTGGGACCAATTAAAACAAGTCTAATAATCTCTGTTCTCTATGGCAGTCAAATAGTTTTAGGATCATAGATTCAGAGCTGGAAGGGAGCTTAGAAACCCTCTGGTCCAATCCCTTACTTTACAGATGAGGGAACTGAGGCCAACCAAGTTTACATGACTCGTCCAAAGTTAAACAGCCCGTCAGCGGCACAGCCAGGATTCTAACTCTGGTCTGCCCACTCCACTCAAACCCAGCACTCTCTCCATTGTGCCATGATACTTTCCTAATTAAAGGAAGTGATTGCATCCCTCTCTACCTCTATTCTACTCCAGGCTAACCATCCCCCATCCCTTTCACTCATCCTCAGCTGGGGCATTTTCCAGTGCCCTCACCATCCTGATCACCTTCCCCTGGACATGCGCCAGCTGTCGATGACCTTCCTAAAATGGGATATCCAGAACTCAGTGATACAGATATGATAAAACATAGCAAGCCTTTCCCCTCCATCATTCTGCTATTCCATCAATGCAGCCTAAGCTCAGCCTGGATTCTCTGGCATTTTTTTCCTGCTCTATCACATTGTTGACCCATATTAAGCATTAACACTCCCCCACCCCTTTTCACACATACAGTGGACTAACCATGTTTCCCCCTACCTCGTTCTTGTACCACTGGTATTTTGAATTCAAGTATAGAATTTTACATTTTTACCTATTACATTTCTTTTTATCAGAATCAGCCCATATTTCCAGTCTGTCGAGATCTCTTTGGATTGTAATTCTTCCATCTAACATGTTAACTATCTCTCCTGGTTTTGTATGAGCAACAAATTCAACAAACATCCCACCTATTGTTTCATCTTAGTCATCAATAAAAATGGTGAATGAAATAAGGGCAAAGACTGATCCCTGGGCCCCTCCCTGGGCCCTTTCTTCATCATGACATTGATCCATTGAGCATTGTTTTTTGTATCTAGATACTAAAGCAGTTCTAAATCCCCCTAACTATACTATCATCAAGTTCACACTGTCTGTCTTATCTATAAGAATATCATAAGAGCCCTTTGTAAAATTTCTTGCTCAAGTCCAGGTATATGTAAGGGATTTTCCAAATCTGCCATCTTAATCACTCTGTCAAAAAAGAATATAAGATTGCCCTGGTATTACTTGCCTGATGAGCCCATGCTAGCTCATAATAATCACTGTTTCCTTTTCTACATACTCACAAACTACCCCTTTAATAAATGGTGGTTCTAATTCTATTATTTTGCCAGAAATCAAAGTTAAGATCACTACGCCATAATTTGGAGAGTCTACCTTCTCCCCTTTTCAAAAGTCAGGACATTTGCCTTTCTCCAGTCCTACAGCTTCTCTCCCTTTCTTATAGATTTTTTTCCCCCAAGATCACTAACCTATTCATGAATTCTTTTATCACAGTGGGATGTAGTTAATCCAAACATGGTAGAATGAATTTATTAAGATGATCTGTTAGAACCTCCTCACTTATCTTCACTTTTGATTCTATTTTTGTCTTATACATTCCAGCCCAAAGACTATGACTTGTACATAATGTGACTAGAGACAGCACAAATCAGGATGGTCGATGAAAGTTTTCACTGGCTCCAGCTCAGTCTGTGGCATTGACTGAACTTTGTGCAGAGCTCTGTAATAAGTGCCACATTCAATCCCTCTCCCAATATCCCTATTACCATCATTCTTCCAGTCACCTATAGACTTATCTTCTGTATTTGTTTTCAGATGTATCATTTCTTGTTTTGTTTAGCCATTTCATGGGTTTGTGTCTGCTCATCAAGTATGAAAGCTCCTTGAAGGCAGACATGTCTCATCCATGTCTGAATTCTCCACATTAACTAGCAGAGATCTGGGGCTCTCCCATAAGGTCACATGAATTTCATCTCTCCCCTTTTGTTTCTGCAAAACTTCTTGGAACAAAAGTGGAATATTAGGCTAGAAGGCCATCGATATGCTAATGGACTAGAATAAAGCATATCTTTTCTTCATCAGATCCAATCTCAAAGGTCTCATTATTCACCCAGTGCACTGGCCCAGGGCAAGGAGCCTACATAATGATCTATAAGATGTGTTTCCAACTCTCATTCTTTTTTTTTTATTTGATAGGGGAAAAAAAAATCCCTCTGCTTTTAAAAATTGAAATCTTAACAAACCTGTCTCCTTCCCAATATATTATCCTTCAACCTCTAGTTTATAATTATGGTTATATAAATTGCTTGCCTTTATTAGAGTAAGAGGGCATTTTCCTCTCATCTCAGGGGTAAGAAAAAAGCTGTCTACCACTGCCTGTGGTCCCCATGAGCCAGTCTTTAATTGTCCTACAAGACAATTCTAAACAAGGATAACCCAGCATTGAACCAGCCTTCCAGTGTCTCCTGGGCTGCAGGATCATCAATTTGAACTCAAAGGGACTTAGAGGTCATCTAGTCCAAATCCCTTATTTATAGATTAGGAAATGTAAAAGCCCAGAGAAGTTAGGTAACTTTGTTGAGGTCACACTGGGATTGAACCAAGGTCCTCTGACTTCCACTTCAGCCCTGTCTGCTCAGCATCATGCTGCCTCCACTCCCCACAAATGATGGCGTGTCTGTGTGCGGTGTTGGCTTTCTTATTAATGTGGTGTCCTGAAAAGCCTGTGGGGATGAGACTCTGGTAATAAATATATTTTTTAGTGTGTCACTGCAAAGCTGAGTTAAATAGCCTCATAATGAAGCAGCTGAAGAGCAGTCTAGAGGGGGAACAAAAGTATTCTCCATTTCCATTCACTCCCTACCCCAACAGCACCACCCCCCTCCCTGGCCTGAACGTTTGCTGTCTGGCTTGAGTTTTGAGCTTTTGCTCTTTTTGCTCTTAAAAATAAAACTCCTAGCTAACCATTTGTCTAATGGATGCCCTAAGCATGATAAATCTGCAAATAAATGCAGGTCATATCCATCGCATCAAAGGAATGTCACATCAAAGACATGTGATGGAATACACATTATGACTTATGAAACAAGCTCTGCTGTGAAATTGGTGGACCCCAGCATAAGGATTTTAAAATTTGTTTTTTCCGGATTAGAATGGTTCCTGTGCCAGTCATGCCCCCATCCTGACGATAGTATAGTATGATGGAAAGAACAATGACTTTGGAGTCAGAGAACCTGGATTTAAATCTTAGCTCTGTTACTTAATGCCTGTGTGATCTTGTGCAAATCATGCCATGTTCCTGGGCCTCAGTTTCCTCATCTATAAAATAAGGGGTTTGAAGTAGCCAGCTTCTGAAGTTCCTTGTTGCTCCATTTTCACGATCCCATAATCTCCTATTGCAGAAAAGGCGGTTAACCCAAGAAAAGATAGTACTGTAAATATCCCCAAAGTGATCCCAGATGCTGATGGGAACATAGCATCTTTTTAGGCTGACCTTTGCGCAGGGCTGCCCTTCCTCCACACCATGCTGTCCCTGACTCTGTTTTTCCCTTTGCTGCAGATACAATGAATTCTATTTCCTCACCCACCCTGCCCTGTTCATCGAGGACCACTTCCCAGACAATAAGAACTGGCAACTGCTGAAACCTGTCCAGTCTCTGAGACAATTTGAGACCAATATGTACCATAAGAGTGAATTTTACAACAAGGGGATGCTGTCAGCCCATCCAGAGACATCAGTCATCAAAACAGGTAAAAGAAGGCTCTGGGCCAGGTGAACAAACAGTGGTTCTCCAGTACAGAATATTTTCTCTCTCTAAGGAGCCTGTTTTAATCATGTATGTCAGTTGTTCCTCCACAGGTTAAGACAGTTTCTTCTCCACAAGGGCCTCAGAGTGTAGAAATTTAGGTTAGATAGCAAGACTTTCTAAATTACTGTCATGATATGTGAAAAAACAGAGCTCTCTGGGTCAGTCAGCAGTACTTACTACATATACATCACATGGAAAACATTGCCCTGAGCACTAAGATTCTTCGATGGGTCATATCCCCATCAGTCTAGAGATAGGAGACATGATACTTTTGAGTCAACCCATTTACTTGGCCAACATTTATTGAGCACGTGCTGTCTGCTAGTTGCTGTAATAATAGAGACAATAATAGATTGAGGCACATATGGTCCCTGAATTTAAGGAGTTTATAACTGGCTACCAGGGACAGCTAGGTGGTACAGTAGATAGAGCCTGGAGTCAGGAAGACCTGAGTTCAGATCCATCCTCAGACACTCGCTGTGTGACCCTGGGCAAGTCACTTAACCCTGTTTGTCTCAGTTTTTTCACCTGGAGAAGGAAATGGCAAACCACTCCAGTATCTCTGCCAAGAAAACCCCAAATGGGGTCATGAAGAGTCAGACATGACTGTAGTGACTGAACAGCAGCAACAAATCAAGTATAAGGATACAATTAACTATAAATCAAATAAAAAATATGGCAAGGGCATAAAGGTCATTCACAATGCCATGAGCAGGGAAGGTCTGGTAGGGAGATCAAGACATGTTTCATGAAGATTTATTGATATGGAAAGGATTTCAGTAGCAGAGATAGAAGGAGGAGAACAATGCAGATAGAACACCATGCACAAAGGCATGGAAATGAGGAAGCTTCAAAAATATTTGGGAAACATCAAGGAATCTGGACTAAATTCGGTAGGTAGAGTGGAGCTTCTGAAGGTTTTGATTGGGACGTGACATGCTTAGAGTGCTTAGAATAGAGTGGAGAGAGGAGAGATTAGGGGCAGTCAAATAACTCAGTGAAAGAGTTGTTAGCAATAGGAGAGGCAAGGAATAATGTGGCTTCAAAAAGGGCTTATGAATGGAGGAGGGGAGAGACGGGTGCTAGAGGTGCTGGGAAGGTGGTCTTTGTATTCCCGTTGCTGCTTCTCTGAGAGCTAGGGAGTTTAGGTCATCAGATTCTCTTGGCCAACATGGAAAACAAGTCATAGTAGAAATGTATGATCTAATTACAGCACACAACAGAAAGGACAGACATAGATCTTAGATCTCCAGAATAACAATATTGCATGTGTAGAATGACTTCCAACTTACAGGCTAAAGAGTATAGTATGTATTTTATCATATAGGGAATAGGGAGCCATTGAGGGTTTTTGAGCAGGGAAATTAAATGATGGCATGATGTTATATGGATTAATTTGGCAGTTCTACAAAGGATTGTTCAGAGAGAAAAGGTATCAAGGGCAGGCAGATCATCTAAGAGACAGTCTTCCAGGTAAGGGATGATGAGGACTCAAACAAGAATGGTGGCGATGGAGGTATGTTTGGAGAGACCCAGGGAATGAATGTCAGAGATATTAGGTAGATAGATTAGGTAGGTAGATAGGTAAGTAGATTGCTAGAATTTGGCAATTAGTGGTTAAGGAGAGGAAGGAATCAGACATGACTGAGGTTTAAAGCCTGAGTGACTTGGGGGATTCTGTTGCCATCAGCAGAAATAAGAAAGTTGAAGAGAAGGACAAGTTTTGGATAAAAGATGAATTCCCTTTTTAAATATGCTGAGTTTGAGATGCTAGTGAGGTATTCAGGTAAAGATGCCTCGCAGAGAATTCTAAAAGTGAGACTGAAGCTCAGAGGACAGACAGAGACTGGAAATGTAGATTTTCAACTCATCTGCATAGACTGTGATGGCTTTAGGCAGAACTGCACCTAATTAGTCCTAGACAGATGGATATATTTCTTATACTTAACTATTCTTTTTCGTAACTTTTCTCAATAAGCCTGAGAATTTTTTTCCTTATGTCTAACCTAAATCCACATATCTACACTTATGGCCAGTTTTTCCCTGTTCTACTCTTAGTGGTGATGGACAATATCTGATCCCCACACAGTTATCTTTTGTTATCTTTTGTCTACTTGATGACTATTAATAAAAATAATTAGCATTATACAGTATGTGGTTTTACATTATGTAAGTTTACAAAGTACTTTACAAATATCCCTTTTATCCTTATGACAACTCTGGGAGGTAGATACTATTATTATCCTCATTTTACAGATAAGGAAGCTGAAGCAGAGGTTAAGTGACTTGCCCAGGTTCCTACAGCCAGGAAGTGATTGAGGCAGGATTTGAATTCAGGTCTTCCTGATAACAAGTCCAGTGCTCTAGCCACTGCAGCACCTAGCTGTCTCCTGCTAAGCTCAAGTGCTACCTCCAACATGAGTCTTTTCCTCATCCTCCCCAGCTGCTAGTACCTCCCTGCTAAACTATATTTGTTTGTGTATATATACTTATATGTGTTTATCTCCCCACCCCTTCCACTTTCTAGATAGAAGGTAAATTTCCTGAAGGTAGAGACTGTTTCATTTTGTAGCCCTAGCACCTAGCAAATTACTTGGTATACAGTAAGCAATTAATAAATGTTTGCTTAATGGGTTATATTACAACCCTGAATCCAAAAAGGGCCTCTTTTTGCCAGAATTATGACATTATTTGAAATCAAAGGTATAGAAGTGATATATACATACATACATGTATGAGCCTACTTGTTGGCCTTGTCTGCTAATGGAGGGGATTCCATATCAATAACAGAGCAATGAAATCCAAGTTCAGACATAGAAAGAGACAGTAGAGAGAATTCAGGAAATGACCTTTCCACCTAATGCAATCCATATCTAAGGTAGGAATCCTCTAAATAATTATATACAAATGGCTGTCCAGCTTCTGTTGGAAGACCTCCAAATGTCTAGCTCCTAGAGAAGTAGCAATGGGAATACAAAGACTACCTTCACAGCATCTCTTGCACCCATCCATCTCTTTCTTACTACTTCCACAGCCCTTTTCCAGTCCCTGTTACTCCTTGCCTATATAGACTCCTGCAACAACTCCTTAACCCGACTCCCTGTCCCAATCTTTCCTCTTTCCATTCTATCCCTTTCACTTTAAGCAATTCTAATTGTTAGGAAGCAATGTTTGTTTGCTTGCTTTTTAACGAAGCTGAAATTGGTGCTTCTCTACAATGGGTATTGGTTCCAGGGTTGCCCATCATAAGTGGCAATCTCCCTTTTGCAAAAGTTCCCTTCTGATATTTCATAATGAAATTTATGTGTTCTCCATAGCCACACCAATGAAACACCCTCTAAAGAAGTCTCCACCATACTAGAAAGGTTCTCAATTTGGACCTACTTAGATTCTAGATTTCGACATGGAAGGAGCTTTAGACATTATGAAGTCCAAGAGTTATTAACATGGAAGCCCATGATAAAAAAAAATACTTAACTATATTTTAATCTAATTGGTTTCCTTCATAATCTTATATATTTAATGCATTTTACAATCTGAGAAAAAGTCCATAGGCTTCACCAGACTGCCAGAGGGACCTATGAAACAAAAAAAGGGTTAAGAACCTCTGATCTAGAACCCTAATTTTACAACAGAGAGGCTGACTCACCCAAAGCCAACAGCATGTTGCACTTCACTTAGAGAAAACAGACCTTGGTTTGACACCTGGCTACCATTGTAACTCACTGTATGCCTACGCAAATCACTTCACTGCCTCAGTTTCTTTATCTATAAAATGGGAATAAAAAAATCTACACTCTACCTCACAGAGCATGTCATTTATAAGTTGTAAGACATATAAATACAAACCATTATTGTTACATATAATAACATTATGTAAATACAAGAGACAGTGTAGGGACTTAGGATCTAGGCCTCCTGCCTCCTGAGTCCGGTGTTTCTACAACACCAAGACCACATAACCACAACCATCTGTGTATCACTCAGAAAATCCAACTCATCACCCTGACCCTGCTAACAGAGTCTCTGAGGTCGAAGTGTAAATGTTTCATGCTTGAAGAGCAGAAGGTCCTGAGTCCCACCTCTCATGCCCAGTAACTGGCAACTGTGAATTGTTTGTAGCACCCAGATTTGTTCCGAATGACCTGCCCTTTTTAGCTGGTGTTAGTTTCTTTAAACAGGTTGTGCTGCTCTCACTTACTTTTTAAAAAGCTATAAATATCTGACAACTCCAGCTGCTAAAATAACAGGGTAAGAGTGCTTGCTTTTGCATTGCCAGATCAGAGGTAGAGAGCCTTTTTTTCTATTGAGAACTATTGACACTCGGGAGAAAAAAAAATCAATCAAGGATCACATAGACATAAAAAGCAATTTGGTTTAATTAGAGTTTGTCTGTAGAACCTCTGAGTTAAAAAAGTTGGAAAGGGTACTTGATTAGGAGTCACAGAACCCGGTTCAAATCCTGGTTCTACTACCCACTAGCTATTTGACTTCAAGGAAGTCACTTAATGTCTTTCAGCCTCAGTTTCCTAATCTGTATATTGAGGAAATTGTACTAGATTATCTCCAAGGTTCTTTTCAGTTGTTTTTCAGCCATGTCTTACCCTTCATGATCCCATTTGGGGTTTTCTTGGCAAAGATAGCGGAGTGGTTTGCCGTTTCTTTCTTCAGTTCATTTGACAGAGGAGGAAACTGAGGCAAACAGGGTTAAGTGACTCGCCCAAGGTCACACAGCTAGTAAGTGTCTGAAGCCAGATTTGAACTCAAGTTTTTAGCCCAGTGTTCTATCCACTAGATAGCTTCCCAAGATTCTTGCCAGTTTAAAATCTTATTTGGTCTGTGGTCCTGATTATGAATTCCTTTATGACATTTCAGTGATGGCTTATAGCTCTAAAGGAGGGATTTTTCACCATTTTCCATATCATAGGCCCTCTCTGGCCA